CAAACAGATTACATTTGAAAGGTCTACATTTCTGTGACAATAGAAACCTTTCATGTTACAGTATATATTAAAATGAGAGAAAAATAAGAAATGATTGTTCAGGTAGGAGACAATCATTAGGCCTGCTGTGCAAAAGGTGTCCTACCATCGATGTATATTTAATAGTAGAAAAGGGAAATAATGTGTCAAACCCTCTAGGCCAGTACATAGTTAATGGATCTACACTGGAAAGCATGTGGGACAAGGGAGCTCAGACTGCAGTTAAGGAAAAGATTAACAAGTTCATAATTTGAAATAGATGCTTTTGTTCAGCAGAATTGAATATTATTTAAGCAGGAAATTTGTGAACCAGGATAATATTACACTGGAATTTTACTTAAATACATTATCCCTTCCTGCATTCCCGAGCTCTACAGTTTGCAGGCATACATTGTTTGTGTAGACAATTTGAATGTTTTTGTAAGGTCTCTTGCAATTCTGAGCGGGGTGTACTTCTGCCTTGCAAGGAAGAAGTAGGCAAGAAACACACAGCTTAAGATGAGATGTTGGTACACTGGAGGAGTCTTTGCAATCTGCAATGAGTCAATCAATCAGAGTGCTGTGGCTAAAGACACTTTTAGACTAGGGACAGAAAACTCCTTCACCAACCCCTTTCCTTGTGGAGGTCCACTGTCCTTCACTTTGGATATAACAATTTGCTGTCAGTGATATTTCTGTACAAGTAGCAATTTCATTCTTGATATAAGAGGCATGGCAACCCTTTTTTTGTCGGTCTAGTCAGCTTCATGTCTATTTACATGTTGAATTTAGGAATGATGTAATTGTGTGTTGTAAATAGTTATTTTTGTTAATTTTGTTAATAGTTATTTTTTGTAAATAGTGTTGTAAATAGTTATTTTTGTTTTGCATTTCACCTTGTAGCAGTGTGTAGTGTGGAGATACAGCATTTTGTTCTATTTGTAGTCTTTCTATTTCAGACCAAGAAGTAAGTATTTGAAAGACAAAGGTATTATAACTTCATATTTGGGACCTACAGCAATTTATTTCTGTGCATGTTTTTTTCATATGTAACTGTGATTTTCTGTACATAATCCTCAGGAAAAATATGTCCAAAAAACATATTACTTAACACCGTAACTCATTTTCTATGCTTTGCACACACAGCCTGTGTCTGCTTTGGCCATTCTCTAAAAGTTAAAATAGCATCAGACAAGAAAGAAAAATAAGATGTTTACAGCGCATTTCAGCCAACTGAAACTCTGTATAATGTGCTTGACTCTTGAAACAGCTGAACATGATGTGTGTGACGAGATATAGCAGATGGTATTGTCCTAGCCCTCTCTATTTTCATCTGATAACTGCCTGGGTTATTTTTTTTCTCTCTTTGACACTATCATTTGGGAAATCCCTTTTTATCTATGACAAGTTTTTTAAGCTAGTACACTCCTGTTAAGGATCTACTGCATGTAGCTTTCCAATATTAAGATAAGAAGAAGAATGTTGCTGTAATCTTGGCCTAAGTTATGGCTCTTAAGTTGTCTGTACACAGAGAAGTAGGTGAAATGTTTTGACAAAGAAAAATGTGTTGTCAGCTCTGTTTTATCCATGGCTGAGGAGGGAAATGGAAACTATACTTCAGCAGGATTCAGACACTGATGGTTAAAATGATCTCCCGCTAAAACAGATTAGAAGAGCACTGTTCAGCTTTATGCCTCATTCTTTTTCTAGTGAAATGTGCAACTAAATGAATGGTTTGTGTGTTGGAAAGAAATCTTTAATGTAAATAATGACCATGAAAGAAGCACCATTTACATAATAATAGCAAAATATATGAACAGTACAGAGTGAATTGCTTCTCTAATGGATTGTCAGTCATTTAAATGTGCATGAGGTATAGTTTCTTTACGATATAATTAATTTCAGTGTTTAGTGTAACCATGGCAGTGATTGAAAGTAGTCCTCTGCTGCATCCTTTATTTTTTCTCGAAGATTTTCTGGACCAGCGGTGAGAAATTCCCAAAGAGAATGCAGAATTTGGATGCAACCTTACCTGTGCTGCATCTGGGAAGGCAACTTCCCTGTTATTTGCTGGCCACTGTTACATGTAAAGCAAGAGTCAGTGGTTTACCTTGCAGAGAAAACAAAGACAGCAATTACCCACAGAAGTATGACTTGAAGCACGAAGTACCAGATTTTGGGTTCAAATGCTTAAGTGGCAGAAATATATTTTTATGCAACGTTACCAGCTGCAAATTCATGTACATTTTGATACCTAAAAACAGGTTCCTTTTACAAGTAACTTGTTTGCAACTATTATCTGATCTAGCTGCCAGAAGCTTTTTGTAGTTCTAATTATTTCACACAGTTAAGTTATAGGATCGTGTACATTTTCTTTAATTTCCCCCTTGTTAATACACAAAACCTATACATTCGAGTGGGAAATGCCTCTGAATATTTAGTGTGTTTGAATCTAATATATGAAAATTAATTTGTTTTTCTCTGTAACTGAACTTGTATACACAAGAGTATATGAACATTAGCTTCTCATCCTTTGCAGTCTGACATGCCTTGTAGGTAATCTCTATTCATCCTATCATCCTTGCTCATCACTGATTTGCTTTTGCTGAGCTTCTTCAGAAAAGTAAAGCATTAGCTTTTCACTCTGAATGCAAGTAAATAATGAATTTTCCTCAAAAGCAAGCAGTAGTTGCTGAATTTCATAAATTAATGCTCCATTTTACTTCCCTGCCTTCAAATACTGAGAATCTCAGTGTTCTCAGGGTTGAGAATACTCTCATTAATGGTGTCTCAGGCTTTTTATTAGTCACTAATCTATCTTCTTCTGATGCCAGCACTTCATTTATGACAGGTTCAATTGATATCTCCAATTTCTCTCAAACTTGCTCTTTTCTTAAAGTTATATACCTGTCAATTATAATGATGTAGTTCCCATAATCGTGATACCTTTAAAAAAAACAAACCAAATGGCGAACAAACCTTCGTTTTTCATTTGCTTTGATCAGTATTCTTCTTCCTTCCAAAAATCTCCTTTAGATTTTGTTTTCCTGGAAAGATGAAAATCTGTGCTTCTTGATTTTCTTGGAATCCTGTGAGGTCAATCAAAACAAGATCAGGAATTTCACAGTATCAGAAATCCTTCCTGTAATGACAATATCCTGTAGTTTATGACTGCAGGCAAAAAATAAGTTCAGTTCAAAAAATATCTAACCCTACATATTTCACCATCATCTCATTTTTCTGCAGTTTCAAAGAAGCAACATGTTTCTTTCATAAACCTTGCTATTCTTAAATTTAGGTGGTACAACATAATGTGTGGTGGTTCTACATCAAGCCTACTTTTACTTACAGTGAAATTATCAAATACAAGCATATTAACAGTCAGAGAAGTCCTTTCATTCAAGAAGGGGAGAAGCCATGCTGTAGTTCACATGATTTTCTGCCTCTTTATGGTCACACTAGTAAAGTCAAAGTACAATTCGGCATAAAAGATACATCCTGAGACTTTTATTTGTTGTTGTAAGTATTTGCAAACTACTCTTACCCAAACTGTTTCCAGCAAAACTGTTCCTATTTTTCTCTTGAATGTTAACTATGGCATTGTGGGTTATTTTATTTTGTTATTTGTTTTGTTTTGTTCTCTTGTGAGAGTTCAGAAACATGAAGCTATGGCAGAAGTAATTCTTAATATATGCAGAGTTTTAAACCATTACTTTGCATTCATGGACGCTAATTCTACTACTGAGCTGGAGGTTCTTGTGCCCAAGTCCATGCTAAAAGTATGAGGACTGGACCCAGAGGAACTGCTGCAAGGGTAGTTCTTGTCCTGTCTCTCCTCTGCTTTGCATATAGTACTTTGTAATTAACTTCTGGAGTGGCTGCTGAACCTATAGGATCTTCTGATCCTATCCTACCTGCAATCCAAGTACTTCCCTACCACTTGCCTATACCTTGTTTATTTCCTCAGGGTTTTCGGAGTATTTTTCTTCCGTTAGTTGGATAATATTAATCTCATTAACAATGATTTGGCATGGCTGCATATCCAATGTCCTAGAAAGGCTGTCCATCTAATATTTTGTCTATGTTTTTCGTAGAAGTGCCTGATAACTTTTGGTCTGAAGATCTCACTGAGATCAGAAAAGCAAAAAGAAACAGCAAAATACCATATGACTATCTCATTTTGTAATCTGATAGATTAAATTTGTGCTTTGGCCACACAAACCTGGAAGTCTGAGGTAACATTGACAAGTTAGTGCTATTTTAACTACAAAACAATTACAATTATTGAACATTTATGTTCTAGTTTCCCTGAAAAAATGACATCTGTATTGTGCTATGCACGTGGCTACAGACTTGAAATACTGATACTAGTAAAGACTTCAAAGAATACCCTGCAGTCTTTGTATCTAATAGATCAGAATTGTAGTGGGGGAAGGTGGCAGTTTTAATGAAAAAATAGGTGATGAAAATTGTTTTAGTTTAATGTCCTTACAGACCTGACCTTTGCAGGTTAAACAATAATAGGCTATTAATACAGAATTACTTTCCATTCAGAAATAGTGCATGGATAGTTATATGAATATCATTCCCTGTGATTGTTGAAATTATATATCAATATTTTCAGTCTAAAATGTTATATATTTTTTCAGACTGAGTGTCTGTAAATGTGAAATATAAATAATTTAATAGTCTAGATGTAGGGTCTCCTGCAAGTACTCTACTTGTACGAAACTAGTAAGTGTTCGTATTGGGGCACACTAAGTGCTACAACTACTATAGTGGTACTGGAAAAGTTATACCTTCCCTATTGAAAGAGAGTAAAAAATGTGTGGAATGACTGGAAGGACAATCCAATCAATTCATATAAGTCATCCACGTTTCATAGCAGATTATTTGAGATGCTTGAGTCTGGGTGAAGGAATGGCAGGGCATCTCACGTGTTCATATTTTTCCTGGTAAAGTACATGAAAAAACTCAAAGGATGTGAAAATAACTTTAATGATACAATCAATCTCATAGTGAAAAATACAAGCAATCTGTGGCTGACACCCGGAAAGAGTTACCTTGGACTATCAACAAGAATGAAAATATTTCATAATAAGATCAGTCAGGATATACAGTACTCCGCAACACCGGGCTATCCAAATGAACTATTTGAGTTAGCATGAAGTGCATAGCCAGAATATAGCACACATATTTTGAACGGCGGGACAAGCCTTAGGATATAACTAGTGTAAACAGCTACTGCTTAGTGTCGTGTCTGGATGTTTTTCTCGTTCAAAAAGATGCTGGTAAGAAGCTTATCCCAGCATTCTAGGGTCCGTGACATGGAATCAGTTCCTGACACAGACTTTTGAGGTAGTGTTTTCTTCCTAGAAGCAGTACTACATGGATTACTTAATCTAGATTTATAATTGTACATTCTTGACTCCTAGCTGTCTAGAGTTTGCTTTGTAGACAAAACAGAAGAAAACACAAGGCTTGTACGCTGGAAAAAGCAAAATTTAAGTAGGTTTTTTGTGGCTATGAGGGCAGGACCATCTTTCCATAAACAAAGCTGTTTTGGTGATGAATGGTGGAGTCTCCAGCAGTAGCAGATTTGACTCTCTGGTTAAGGCTGAGATCTCTGAAGAATAAAATGAAAAGAAAAATAGTTATTTTTTTGGTATTCCACTCTGGAAACCAAGCCTGTATGGTGTTGCTGATCCATTATTTCTTTTTTATACCACCAACTTTGAACAACTGACTGATTTTACCTATTATAAAATTCAGTAATGTTGTGAAACCCTGAAAATTATGAAGTTTAGTTACTGCATTTCTGCAGTTGGTGTGAAAAGAAGCTTCAGAATGAAGCTAATAAGCAGCTAGGCAACAGACTAATTAGTAGGATTTGTACAGTCCATTAGGTGCTCACACAGGTTTACATGAGACACTTGTGATATTTGTAGGGAAAGGTAAGCACACTGAGAGATGCAGAAACACAGCATTTAAATTATATTGCATGGCTTAAGTACACTACACTACTATAACACATAGGCATCCACAATGAGGAAAAATAATTTACTAGTGTGTCACAAATTCCACTTTTAGCTGGTATTAATTTCTTAGGAGTATGTCTTCTAATATGGCATTTAATATTGGGTAAGTATGTTATTGCAAGAATGGAAACGATGATTGGAAACGGTTAAGTATTACCTTCTGTATACCTAAAGATTCAATCAGGGAAATTGAGAACATTGCGGAAGATTCATCCTTATATCCAAATTAACATTCTGATGAACTCTGCTGCACATACCGGAGGGCAATATAAGTGAGATCTGCTCTGTGCTAAGGCATTAATCAAAATAATTTCTTGGGGTTTTTGATGTATTAACATGTTCACTACCTATTATTTCTTATTGTTATATTTCTTTTAATACAAAAATTAAATACTTCAAAAATTAATCTTTGTCCATTTGATACTGAAGTTAAATGTTAGTAGACAAACATTTTACCATGGAAAAATATATCATATTATACTCTATTGGACAGGTTAATATGGTTTTGCATTTTACAACATGAAAATTTGTTAGTACAGTCATGCATGCATGTGGAATAAAATTAGTGCATGTGGAATAAAATCCTCCAAAGCAGTTGCTACCAACAGATAAAGGCTGATTCGGTAATTGCTAACCTAATGTGAAATCAGGGCTTGTCATTGCACTAAAGCATTAACTGCAGGAGGGACAGTCAGGACCACAATATGCTATTACTATACGAATGCATCAGACTACCCAGATTTAATATGAGGAGTTATTAATGATGTGCTGTATGAAGACACTTTTTATTGGTTCCTTTGATACCTAAAAGCAAGAAATTATTGCCAGGTGTTTAGTTAATGTCTGTCAACCTCCCTCTTGTGGACTTTGCTTTGGATGTCAGTTGGTGAAACATCTTTTTGCTGCAGCAAAACATTACATACTCAGAAGGAGAGGTCAAAGATGATAACGTTGAGGCCTTAAATGTGGTCTGCCACCAAGCTCAGGGACAACAGTTGTGAAGCCCACTGAGGGACATTTCTAGACTCCTTTTCTTTGAGATGAAAGACTAGACATAAACGATGTTGATCAAGACCCAGTTATTTTTATGTGAGCTTGCCTCATTGTGAAGCAAGCAGGCATACAGCTTGCACGGAGCATGGGAATGCACTAGAGGTGACCTCTTTCCCTCATATATTTTCTTCATAATTTTACAGATCAGAGAGGCAGAGACTGATCTCTTCTCTGTAGTGACCAGTGATGGGATCCAAGGGAAGTGCCTGAAGTTGTGTCAGGGGAAGTTAGGACTGGATATTAGAAAAAGCCACCCAGAGGATGGTTGGGCAGTGGAAGAGGTTCCCCAGAAAAGTGGTTGCAGCACCAACCCTGACAGAGTTCAAGAAGCATTTGGACAATACTCTTGGGTACATGATGTGTTGCTTGGAAACGGTCTGATCAGGGCCAAGAGTTGGACTCGATGATCCTTGTGGGATGATCCCTTACAACTCAGCATATTCTGTGATTCAGCATGTTCTGTGATTTCAGCTGGTGACTGTATTCTGAAGCATTTGAGCACACGTTTATCATGGGCAAGTTATCAACATGCTGCTATAAACATTAGTTGTTTGAGAAATTCCTTTTACCTCAAAAACCCCAAGAAGAATTGAGTTTCATAAGTCAATAACTGCAAGCAAAGTTTTCACAGTGATTTGCATAATTCTCTAAAAGCAGTTTCTGAAAAGCAGTGATTAAAAATGATTAAAAAGTTCTTTTAAAAAATAATCCAGTAGCTTAAGATTTTCACAAATGCTCATCAAGAAAATATCTATTTTGTTTTATTTATTTTGTTCTGCCTATGCATGATCCACCTATACTCATTTCACTCGACTGCTTTGAGCCATGGTCTTAGTGCTGAGCTGTGCTACGGAGATGTTTTAACTCCTAGGGAGAGAAGAAGAAATCGAATGGTCATGGCAGATGAAGGTCTTGCTGCCAGTAGGACAATGAGTGAACCTAGACTACCCTATTGCCTACCTGTGACTGAAACCATCTTGGATGAAAATGGTGGTTTGGAGGTGGGGTTGGACTCGGTCCCCAGCTGCACTGTCTGCCTCCTGTTGTTGCCTTTCCACAAGTGCTGTGGTTTTTGCTACTGGGGAAAGGAATATGAGGAATGGTGTGAGGTTTGGGCTGGAAATCAGAAGTATGAGCCATGTGGTGTGCTGGCTAATTGTGGCTGCCTGGCGGTGGGTGGTCTCCGCAATGCTGTGAAGCGTTTCTGCAGGTAGAGGTGTTGAAACTGCTCTGAGAGGGTGAATTTATACTAACAGCTTCATAATTGAGTTCTCTATACCATTCATGCTGGGGAAATAAAAGCATAATTCAAAAGGGTGCTAGCAGATCTGAAATGAACTAATTACAGCTTTAAAACAGAAGTTTCTGGAAGATTGTCTTCACTACTCACTTAACACTGTTAGTCCATCCCTCTACTGAGCACTGATCGCTCCTACTTTGGTCTTATGTTCAGTTCATATCCAGGAAAGCATTTTTCTTTACACTTGTATTCCCTGAATCTACTTTGCTGTATATTGTGGAGAACTTGTCTCTTTTGTAGTAAATGAAATGAGTATCATCTTTATTAGGTAGATTAAAAGACCAGGATATGGCCTTGGAGGCTCCTATCCCTCGCTATGCATACAGAAAATGTCCAACGATACTGCACGAATGCTCAGAAGTTTCTGCAGAGCTCTGGCATCATGCTCAAATAATTTATGTTACTACAGTTTCTGGAGTTCTTCTATCTTATTCTTTTATGTCTCTGTGTTTGACAGCGCTTCACCTTCATTATCTTTAAAGATCAGCACTAAACAAGATATTTCCTCCCCATTCTCTCTTTGCAAACCAAACCAAATAAATCACTTAGCTTTTTGCTGTCTCTTTAGTCTCCTCACCGTGTTATTTTTAATCATTTTGACCTTGTAAACCCAACAACTTTTGTAAGGATCTTAAGATATATTAAGAGATTCCTCTGTATAAGCAATAAATTTTTAAAAAGTTCCATTTTATTATTATGCATTGTCTTTTTTGTCACAACTTTTAAAGTGTTTTCATGGCCTTGTCAGTATTTCAGCCAAGTGACTTTCTATTATGTCCACCAAGGATAGAATTCAAGCTTTGTGTTTATATATTGTTATCTCTAAAACTGAAGATAATAGACTTTATAAATTTTGAGCATTCATTAGGCAATAAATAAAAATTGATGAGTATCAATGTGAAGAATCTGTGTACTTCCAGAGTTTACAGCATGGGTATGTTTCCTAATGACTTCCATATGTTAATATATCAGTTTAGTGAGATTTGTCAGAGACTCATTGTCATTACTGTTCGTTTTTTCCAAAGGATTTGTTGTGTTCTTTTGCTGTTTTATTGGTTCAAACTGAAACTATGCTTTCCCTATCACAGGCAATAAGTACAAGTACATGAAATAAAATGTTATATTTCAATATAAGTTAAACGTTTAAATTCTACCAAGTTTGCATCCAAACAAATGTTGAAGGGTTGAGGCTTCATTTGAAATAATGGCTGTAGTATTTTTTAAGGAAAATATATTGAATAGATTTTCACAATTGAAACATTTTAGTCTGAAAATTTTGTAACTGTAATCTATATTAATTTACAACCTAAGAATTTATTATCAATATATTTTCATGGTAGTGGACTGCAGTTATCAACATGTGCAAATCTCACTTAAAAAACCAAAAGAACTGAAGCATAAAAGTTTTCTGAAGAAGAAGTGTAGTAGAGTTTGGGTAATAAAATAAAGCCATGACTCATCTCTAATTTAAGAGTGCAATTTATGAAAGGAATTAATGTTTAACATTGGGGAATAGGAAGGAAGTAGCAGCTATAATTGTTTAAGCATCTAGAGCAAATTGCTTTATATTGCTCTATAGCTTTAGCTCAGTCAAATCCTTAACAAGCTGGACAATAGCTACAATAATTATCTAGAGAAATTAATGTTTTTATAAAATATGGCCAATATACCTGATTGCCTGCATGCTAAAAATACTTGATTTTCATCGAGTATGATTTAATTTCTTCAAGAAGGCTGTTGCTGCCTAAAAACTGATTTTTCACTGCCGTGAAGCAAAATAATAGATAAATAACATCCTCAGCAATATACAATGCAAAGCAAATGTTAAAAAGTTTCCCTTTATTAGTATTTATTAGCCAATAACTATTTTTTATTAATTTGTTGGTCTTATGAGATTGTTAATCATTAATGAGAAGCAAATGGCAGCCCCAAAACAACACAGCTGTTCTTTGTTAAAGTAATTAAGGCTGTCTGCATTCATGATCATATGGTTGATACAAATTTTGAGCTACAATGGTATTGAGCTATAATCGAACTTACAAGTTTTGGAGTCATGCGACAGAGACAGTACAGGGTTGTTTTGTATGAATTTCTTACAAAATGAAGTAGTGGTGATGAAGATAATTCTTCTAACACATCCAGGTTACAGAGAAAAACTGAATCTTTTTTTTCCTACAAAATTTTTCATGCTTTACTTTCTTCAGTGTTCTTTTTTTTTAATAAAAGACAAAATAATTTGGTATTTTGGGAGGAAGACGGGAAAGTTATGGTTTTAATTTTGTCTTTCTGGGAAACTGGAAAATTTCTCTCAAACAGATCTTTCCTAATTTTCTTTGAATGTTTAAGTGCAAAATATCCACTTTGTTTTTTGGCTGGGGTTAGCCTTAGGTAGCCCACAAGCACTGTGCTTATATCCGAGTAAATTGTCAACATTTACTGTCATTTGGGCATACAGAGAATTAAATGTAGCCGCAGTTACTAGCAGGCTAATGTTGTTCGTGCAGATGCTGACTTGGCTAAACTGAGGGAAGCCTGAGTATGCCCAGATTTTAGGTCAGTGGTTGAGTGGTAAAATTTTCAAGTCAAACTGGACTGGCAGCTGTTGAATGTGTAGGCTCGAGTCAGCACTGCATAGCTGCTCTTCTGTTATTTTTAAGTTTCAGCCCGAGTCTCCCCTAGAAACAGTCATCTGTAAGAATTTAGCCATCGATATGGGATAGGAGCAGGTGCAGAGCTCACAGCAACCATATTGTGAGTCAATACAAATTAAAGGTCTAAGACAGAGACTGAAAACAAGAGGAAGCTTTGAGGGAGGACACTGAGCTCAATAAGAAGTCAAATATAGGGCAGGAGGTAGCGTGACAAGGAGTTTGAACTAAGGGAATGGTTTCAACTGTTACTGGCAAAGAAAAGGTGGGCATTCAAGAAAAAACACGCTGGAAAAATAGAGGTGAGACCAAGTGAAGGGTAACACAATAACAATAGCCTTTATAAACATGGATGGAAGTGATTAACAGTAGAGTGAGTGTTGAGACCATTCCTATTTCCATGAAATAAAAATTGTTGGTATTTTTTTAGCTTTTGACAGAATTAGAATACTTGCTGTTAACATTGATGGAAAGTTAAGTTCTCCATCAAATCCTACTAATCTTAGAGGGATAATGGTGTACTGTACATATGATATATCATGTGACTTGAAGTAAATACATAAATACAGGTGTATACCATATAAAACACCACTAGAGATAATGAGCTGTTTCTTCACATTAGAAACCTTGAGAGCTTTCCTGCTTTGCATGGAAGATCATAATAGCCTCAGAGGATTTTATTAGCCTTCCTCTTGAAAAACAGAAGAGATAAAAAAACTTCTGTTATTTGAGTTTCATATCAGTCTTTGTTGTCCTTGTGCTTTCAAGAAGAACCCTGCCAGGTTTGCATGGCATTGGATGTTTGAAAGGCCAAGCATTTTAATGTGTTTAAGGACATTCCTCAAAATTGGAAACTAATTCCCTATGTCTTTCAAGAAACTGATCAAATGGTTGGGGCACTTTTCCCAAGTCTTTCACAATGTGTATTTGTTTCATGAAGTGCCCTATTCATAGTACTGTAATTCACTTACAGCTCTACATTCTGCCTATGTATTTAAACATCGACTTCTGAACAGCTCTCCCTCTGCAACTATCTGTCTCTTTCAGTGAAACTCACTGTCAGATTAAGCTCAGAAATCAGCGTGAGAAGACTGGAGTGTAACTAGAGGAAAAAGGTCCGGGTCTTGTGCAGGTTTAAAATTCTAACATGTATCTGAGGAAACAAAGACAGAAACTGAAAATGCCTGAAGATATAACTTTTTTCTTTGACAAGAGAAGTAAGCAGAACTTCTTCCCACACTAAATAACTTACTTTTGAAGGACTATAAGACACTAGTTACTCATTTTCTTGCTCTCAGAACTTGTCTTCCCTTTACCACCCTTTGTTCTTCTTTCCTTCACTTTTTTTTCCCACTTTTTTTCTTCTGTCTCTTTTGGAAGAGTACAGGTTTCACCTGTGGGGGAAAAATGCTTTCATATTTAGGTGATTTTCAACATGAACAAATAGGCACAGTAAAGGCTGGTATCAATGAAAAGAATAGTATTGTTGTTATACATATGCTGACAACAGCCATCTTCTCCTTTGTCAAAGTACTGATGCAAAATACTAGGCTATTACAATGTTCACCCCGAAGAAAAGATACAAGGACTCCCTGAAACAACATCTCAGCCTTGGCCATATTGATCTTCATCACTGGTCTACTCTGGCCTCAAATCGGGAGGCCTGGAGACACACCATCTATAACGCAGCTGTCTCCTTTGAGAACACACGCAGGATCACTCTTGAGGAAAAAAGGCAACGCAGAAAGAACCGTATATTGCAGAATATACCATCTAAGGAGTCTTTCTGCTGTGCCTTTTGTAATCGGATATGTCTGTCACGTATTGGCCTCATAAGCCACCAGCGTGCCTGTAGCAAATGCGGATAGAGCCTTCCCAGATCTTCGTTTGCGAAGCCTAGCCATGATGACAATGTTCACAACATTAACTGTCTGGCTATTAAATCCTGAGACAAGCAAAAGTATCACAAATCTATGATCCATACTGTCAAAAAACAGTCTATAATTGAGCAGTCAGACTTGTCAGGAAGCATGGAGTTTTTTCCAATCTAACCTGAATGGTCTTCAAGCATGCAAACATTAAATGAATGCTTGAATTCTTGACCAAAGAATGGACTATATTAATTCAGTTTCATTCTCTAATACTAGCTCCAATCAGCATGGCAATTATTACATGTTGGCTGTTTGTTCAAATGCAAGCAAGGGTTATGGTCTCTGTTTTGTTTTCCATTGGAGTAACTAGCCTGAGTTACTGAGCCTCCTACTACTTTTCATAAATGAGAATACTTTTCACAAATGAGAGTACTTTTCTTCATAAAGCATAGTCACTCAATACCACTTGTGGTACTTTATATGTCCTCTGGCATACTGAATGTAGTTTATAATTTGCATTTTGCTGTGTAACCTGATAACATTTTATTGCAGTGATCTGGCACTGCCACAAGGACCAAATCATGGTGCATAGGAGAGGTTGCATCTCAGCTTTGGAGAATGAGTAAAATAAATTCTTTCCTTTCAAAAGGAAGCATGAAACCTCTTATTGGAGGGTTGTCTTGCTGTAGAATGGCCAAATTAAATGATACATGACAGCCACACACACATCCCACACTGCAGTTCTGGGACATGGTCAGCCTTGGACAGAAAGGCTGCTTTTTTGTTATGAGTTGGGCCCTGTGCTGCAAGCTATCAGGTCCCCACAGAGGACAGCTGGAGCAGAATAGATATCACAGCATCTACTTACCACAGTGCCCATTAACTTGTAAAACATGAAGAAGAACAGGAACCAGTGTCTCTCTCCAGAAATGTGCAAGCAGTGTCTGTGCATAGCAGCCCTTCCTTACCAAGAAATCAAGGCTTCTGCCCATTCTTTAAACATCCATATCTGAAGGGAAAGCAGAGGACACTAGTTCAAACAAATCAGGGAGCGCCCAAGCTGTCTCCTACTTGCTCAATTAAGCCTTAGTTGGCTTGTAAGCTACTTTAAGGCAGGAACCATATTACTTTATGAATCAATTGAATAGTTATCCCAATAGAATAATAAGATTTTTTGGCTTCTTTTGTACCTTTACATAAAGGCCATACCAAGTAAATATTGGAATTATCATTATTTTGTCTGTCAGACAAGTTTGGAGTGTCCTATATCATATATGGTCAACTGTACAGAGAAGTGAATGTGCAGAAGGATTTTGGACATGCATAAAACAGTAGACTACAGTCACAAAAAACTGTACCTCCTTTTACTTTAAGTTGACTATATCCCCAGTTTTGAAGACTGTAGAGTTACTGCATCATATCAGGGGTTACATACTACCCTTAAGGAGGAAGAGAAATGGAAACCAAATTCAGAACTCCTGGCCAGACAGGAATTCAATTATTTTTATGGTTATATAAATGAAATAGAAATTAGTTATCTGTTCTATGTAAAAATTTGTTACCTTCATCTCAGGCTTTTAGCTGTCTGTCCTTGGAATCCACAGAATGTGTGTTCATTTAGATTTGGTGCTCTAAATCAATGCTGACAGCTGTAAATTTAGGCTAATAAATGAATTACACAGGTAAGGAAAAGAAGCACTATCTCCAGAGGTTGTATAACTCACATAGCTAATGCTATCAAGAAAGCACTGATCAGACACTAGCTGATTGATTTTCCCCCTAGGTAGGTATTACACTGTGCAGCTGATGAAATTGTAACTACTCATATTTTCTCTTTCATATTTCATGTTATTAGATTTAGTCTATCTGCTATACAGAATCTTTCCTCAAAACTGAGCCTGCTAGGCTAAAGCAGAAACAACCTTCTCTCTCTATTCCAGTTCTTTAGGGGCAAGCAGGAAAATTCCTTGAAAACCTTGTGATTTCCTGCTTTTGGCGAGGATGAGCATTCCTGCCAGAGCAGTGGTGCAGGGCAGCGATAGCTCTGGCTCTTAGGCTGTTGTCTCATGTCCTGCCTCAGCAATTCACCCATGTCAGTGCTGGAGTTGAGAGGCTGTATAGTCCCATAGGGACAAAATTCTGTGCATCGTAGTACCCATGAATCAGCCTATAAGGAAGCAGTAATTAAGGAAGGCTTGGAGTACTGTCAAAGTTATACCTGGCTGAATGGAAAAACAACACAAAATAAAAGACCAATCACAGAGCAGCAGAGGGCACTGGTGATTTAAAGTCATCCTGCTAAACCTCTGAGGCTGCCGAATGCTCTGCAGAGTTTCTTCCCTGTAACACTCTATTGCTCTAAGTCACACCTGAAATCTCATCTGCTAATATGAATGTATATATAATGGGCCTAATTTCGGTCTTTTATTCTGTAGTGAACATTAAGAGTAACTACAATGAGGACAAGACGTTAGAGAGCAAAAAGTGAGAGTGTGTAAAGATATTTTGTCTGGGAATGAGAACATGGAAACAGAAACAACAAATTTTTTATGCCTGTTTAAGGAAGCTTAAAAGGTTCACAAACTAGACTATCTTAGGGAAACTTTTTCTTATGTTCTTTGTGAAAAATATCAGATATTGTAGTCAAAGATATTTTTTTCAAAGCCTAACATAACTTCACATGTGTTTGAGGGGAAAAAACCCAGCAGTTTGTAACATTCATTACAGCCCAGTGGTTAATATATCCAGAATCAAAGAGTGCAGGAAAAAACGTATATGGTATTTCACAAGCAGGTCTGTAGTTTACCGGTGCTAAACTGATGCTTTAAAATTGACAGCTGTAACTTATTCTGTGTGTTTTATAATTAAATACATGAATCCCTGAAATATTCTGGTGCTCTACATCTTTCAGTGTTTGATTTAGCCTGGTGGTTTTGTCATGTCTTCCTTTATCAGTAGTTCAACAGTGCAGTTGAAGGAACATCCACTAAATTCTGCAGAGCTAGCAATAACCGCATATTTCTACCTGTCAACACTTGTTTTCTCCTACCAGTCTTATTTCTTTCCCCCCCTCTATGTATTATTTCCAGGGCTGCCCTAGATTTCTGCTTGAGTCACCCTCTGATCCAGAACTCTACCTAAATAAATTATAATTTCCGTTATGTTTGAGATTGTAGGCACCAGAGCACACAGTTACCAAATGACTATCAGTAATGAGATGTCAAAACTCAGTATCAAGGTGAAGATCTCTTCACCACTTTGTTGGCTGAACATTTTCAAAATGCTGGCAGCTTCACAGAAAGCTTTCCTTTTAATTGCCTTCTGCCAAGCAAAAGCATTAGCCTACTTCTGGCAGCTTTATGGTTCCAGATGTCCAGATCACTCAAGACATCCTAAACCAGAGGCATCAGGGTTTTACACTTTTTTTATTGAGTTGTGCTGCTGACTCCCCGGAGTAAGAACATGTTACTGAGTTATCTGTAGGTATACTGAAGTCACTATTCTCCATACTGTTTACCCAAAACTTATAACCATAAGACAACAGAGCTCTGGAGAAGTGCCAGATCAGAGCATCTCCAGGTGACAGCATAAGAATTTAAAGCACTCTGTTTCATTTGATGCTCTTTTATCTCTGTGAGGTGAAGGGAAGTAAACATCCCAAATTCAGAATGCTGCTTTTTAAAAGCATCCTGTTTACTCACTTCCTAAAGCAGAATATTCTATATATCACCAGAACTGGTGTCTCAGAAAATCAACCTTTCTCACATTTTAACATTACCAAAAGATCTGGCAAGTTATAGATATCTACATATAGCAGTTTATTCTTAGTACAGTTCTCTTAATGGTGCTATCTTCTCAAATAGCGACAGCAGTCCAAAACTGAGAAAAAACTTCAATGGTACTGAATAGATTCTGTGCTTAAGCTCCCTAGTTTTGAATGCTGAATATCCTTTTTTTTCTTTGTTTCTAGGAGAAGGGGAGATTTTACAGACTTCGGAATTGCTGACTCCTTTTTGCAGAATGTTAATATGGGCCTGTTTTGAGTTAATAGCAGGCCTAATGATGTAACTAAAAGTCTAGTGGACACTAGACATCTCAAAGTATCAGTCAGGCTGCCTGGTTATCACGCAGTCACATCTGCAAGATACCACATTTTCTTCAGTACCGTTGTTCCTTTTCCCACTATAACCCCAATTTCTTACATCTTTACTCTGGTTAAAATTACACCCCTGAAACCCTGTGTCTTACAGCACTGCAACAATAAATTAATTAAGAAATAACTGAGATTAATGCTTAATCACTCTGAGGGATGATGCAAAATTTAATTTTTGACAGAGTTCTATTATTCTAGATATTAGATTAGTGATGTAGAAATGACAATTATTTTATACAGAATAATAGAAATAGAAAGAACCAAACAGAAAAAAAAATGGCAACAGGATTCATATTTAACAAAAACCTATTCTGACATGTTTTGCAGAATAAGAGATATTTCTGTAGTGCAGATTCCGTCTTTAAAAAAAACTAATTACAGAAGTAAGGAGTGTGATTCCTATTTTTTGTGTGTGTGTGTTTATGTTAATTAATTTTTTTATGTTTAAAAGTGATTTTTTGGCAAGGAAGGGCTGCTATGCACAGATTTTTTTTTTTCTCAGCTATATTCTCTTTTCATTGCATGCATTGCATAATTCCTACTTTATATTTTCTTGTAAATGGTAAATGCTGAGATCTGCATAGAGACAACACTCATCTTTTAGTCCTCATTTCTAAAAGCATTGTTGAAAAAAACATTCTGTAAAAAATGTAACTTATAATAAAATGTCCGAGGATAACCAAAATAAAAAAAAAAAGGAAAATAAAGATAAAACCTCCAACACATGTTGTCATACAAATGTTTACTTCGAGGTTAACAAATTGCATTCATTTTCTTTTGTCCTTTTCTCTAAAGTAACTCTGGCCTCTCGCTACTGTTTCTTATGAGGTGAGTTGTTATTAATTTGTTTTCATGTTTCTTTTAAAGGTTGCTGTAAACAACATGCAATAAACATCCAGTGAATGGGCACTGGATTTGACTCTGAGAAACAACCTTAGCCTCCTGCAGTTCTAAATGTCTTACTAATGGAAGCTGGATGGGTAATTTAAAGTGTTTTTAATTCCAGAAGGAGCCAAAATGGCATGATCTGGGTTGTATGGAGTGAACATTATAGCTTCTTTAATTTGTCAATTTGATAATACAGAAGCTAGTTTACTGCCTACTGGTATTTTTTTGCAGGTTTTTGCTGATCTAAAATGGCTTGTTTTCCAGTTGATAAGGTTTTCTTTGGTTTGAGAGAAATCTAGATAAGTTCAGTATAGACCCATCTTGTTTATTGTGTAGTGTGAATGAACAATGTTCACAAGATAAGGAATTAGTTTTTGGGTTTGGTTGGGTTTTTTTTGGTTTAGGGATAAGGAGAATAAATAAAAGCCTTGCTATCATCTTGGTGACCTAATGGAATTTGAGAGTTTTGCTGTTGATTCTGACTGGTTGCAAATACTAAGCAGTTAACACATTTGTGATGGTTCCTTAGCTTCAGCAGAGGGGCTGTTTGCTTTTTTTTGTCAGTCTAGAATATCAAATGTCTGTCACTTGATGTACAATATTTTGTAAGTTAAAAAAAAAAAGGACTCCTGTAAATCCATATAATTAATCACTGGTTACATGGCTTTAATTCATACCTCTTCATGATTAATTCATTCTGGTTGATGAGAACATTAACAATAAGAGTTATTGTGGACTATCATGAAAGATGTTATGTGAAGTGCTCCTTTAGCTCCCAAACCCCACTCTTGAGTCACCTATGTGTGCTGCAGCCCATGTTGTCCCTCTTGGTAATGAGAAGTAAATTGAAATTTATATGGTTTGGAATAGCTAAATACGATGTAAGGTGAAACTGCAGCCAAAATACCTCATTTTGGCAAAATTAGTGGGTTTTTAATTTGGACTGTGCTCTTTAATTTTGTGTT